GTTCTTACACTGCCTTTCACCTAGTAGGAGAGGTGCTTGATGAGTAGCACTGAATCCTTTAATCTAATAAAACTACTTTTGACATTTGGCAAACAGAGTAGGACCACCACTGTACACAAGGTATTCAAGGAGAGATAAGATATATACCCATGGAGAGAGAACTAATGAGACAGCGGGGAGATGGAAACAGTAGCAGAGAGGAAGAAGATGGAGGGGAGAAAGAGGATAGAAAGAAAGAAAAAAACCAAGGTCTCATAATACATCGGAAGGTAGTAAGTGCCAAGTGACTATTTCAAACAATAAATGCTGCAGAAACTCAAAGGAGTTAGAGGTTCTGAGGTTTAAAAAAAAACCCACCATAAATTTCCTTGGAGAGAACGAAGAGACTACTCTAAGTGGGTAAAGTTTTGGGGTCAAGAAATGATTTGAGATGGACATGGAAAATACGGATGTCCTGGTACTTGAATCTCAGGCTAAAGACATTTCAGTTTCTCCCACTGGCAACCAGGAACTACTGAGAATTTAAAGTGGAGCATGATGAAGACAGGGCCTTACAATGGATTGGCTGGGAAGAATATAAGAGGCAGGGAAACCAGTGAGGCACCCATTGTGTGTCTGAGTGAGATGATAGGTAGCACTGAAGCCAAAGGAGAAGGAAGAAGAGCGGCACTTTGGAAACAAGGAGTGATTTGATTGTTCATATCTCTTTTCTTCAACAGAAGAGAGCATTTATTTTGCTATTCACACATGTGTTCTAAAGCTAGAGAGATGAACATTTTTTAAAGATTTTATTTATAGAGGGGAAGGGAGGGAGAAAGAGGAGAAAATATCAATTGGTTGCCTTTCACAGGACCCGCCCCGTCCACCCAGAGGGGAAACGAACCAACCCTTTGGTTCACAGGCCAGCACTTAATCCACTGAGCCACATCAGCCAGGGGTAGAGAAGTGAAATTTTAAAGGCCTCAGATAGTACTCCAATAATAGCCTATTGTTGATGATAATCCTACAGAGTTTCAATATTGCTAAATATACTTTTCAGTAATAAATAGCAGAGTAAAGGATTACAGAAAAATAATAACATGATAAGAAAACTTAATGACCATCCAGACCAATTCTCCCTTTTTTTATAGGAGAAACTGAAATCAGGGAAGTTATTTTCCCTTTTAATCAGAAAACCAACTGGTGCAAAAATCCAGGCTTCCTCCCTTAAGAATAAAGTTTTGTTTTGTTTTTACACAGTCCTTTACTTCAGCCTCAGTGATCCTACCTTTCTTAGAAGCTAAAAGTGTAGCTGTGGGCCCTCCAACTGTATAGTTCTCTTCTGCTTGTGTCACTGAGAAGAAAACACACAGAAAAGGCCCTTCCAGGATGAGAGCGAGCTCCCGTTCCAAGGCAGTCAGTAGCCCAAAGCAGAATGGGACTGAGATACTCAGACTGTAGAACAGAGCCCCAACCTGCCCTTGTCCACATTATCTATTATCAAATACGCTTGAAGAAGACCAAACAGTAATTCTGGCTCCGAGATGTTGGAGGAAAGCAGTCATTATTGCCATCTTACAGGAAATGGCTGGGTAGCAGGCATGCAGCAGTGGTTTCAAGGAAGAGGGCAGAGGTGGCTTTACCACGAACCCAAAGAAACTTAAACTTCACTAACCCAGGCCCTTCTAGGTCCTGGGAGCCCCTAGCAATTTTGAATTTTTTTCTTAGAGGCCCCCGCAAACCGTAGTTTAGCTTCTACACAACCCTTAAAGATAGGATGTGTAAATAGTCCGCCATCCACTAGAAATGCCTCCAAGTGTCAGTGAACGGCTTTCTTTGCTGTTGTTAAGTCCAAATGTCCACTCTTTGGCCATTCTTTCCAAATTATATCAATAACACTTATTAAAAATGGAAGAGATCATGTTTAAATCTTTACAAATCCAAGTAATAGAACATCCTTTCACATCAATAGGATGTCTTTCCTCTTAGTTCATTATGGAATTTAAACAGTTTCTATTGAGATTATATTTCTGAATAACAAGTATTACTTAAGCAGATACAAGTTAGATGTTAAATTGAACTATTTTGTATATTTTTTTGCATGTTCCTGTCCTAGAAATATGCTATATAAGTTAAAAACATGAAAATCTTGACTTCTGTTTAGATGGAGATTTATCATTATTTGTGAGATATGTCCAGTATGGTTTCACTTTAAAACCACAAATAAAGTTTTAACAATGGGCATTTTTCTTGTTGAGAGGTCTGTGGTCAGACTAAACATCTCTCTGAAACTGATTAGGTCCTGAGGTTTTCAAATTCAATATTCAGCAAATATAGAACATTTGTTTGGCCATAAGAAATAATTAAGAACATCAAAGCTAATGCAACTCTCCTGAGCCTGCCCCTCCTTTCTAATGAGATGATAATAGGACATAACCTCTTCTGTTCTTGGGCCTTGCCATATACAAGATTGAGGCAGAATAAATCATACACAATTAATCTTTTTGAGAATCTAGATGACATTGCTTTAGGGTTTTTTTTTAAGATGTTATTTATTTTTAGAGAGAGGGGAAGGGGGGAGAAAGAGAGGGAGAGAAACATCAATCAGTTTCCTATCACATACCCTCAACTGGAGACCTGGCCCACAACCCAGGCACATGTCCTGACTGGGAATCGAACCCATGACCTTGCAGTTTGCAGGCCAGCACTCAATCCACTGAGCCACACCACCCTGGGCTGCTTTAGGTTTTCACAACAACAAGTCCTTCATTTGCTAGTACTCAGGTAATGCAAGTTTTATATGCTATTAAATTATTTCCTTTTCCTCACTCCCAACTATCCTGAATCTAGAAAAGTAGGTACACGGTCATTCTGTGAAGACAAAGGAACATTGAATAGTTAATTATACAACAGCCAGAACTGTCCATTGTGTATTCATTCTTGTAATGTGTCACTGGTGGGTGAATTAGCATGTTTAGTTTGAAATCCTATAATTGGGATATCAATTGGGACATGGGATTGTTTTAGCAGTTGCACAATTTTAGTGATAACTATCACACTTCATGGAAGATCTGACTCAAAATAACACAAGACTCTGGATAATGAGAAGAGGACTGTTCTATAAATAATCCACATGGCCTGGGTACCTCCACTGATGAGCTGTATCTGATCATTTCCAAAACCACTTTTCTTGTATAAACACGGTATCACTGTGATTCTGGAGACAGCATTTCCTTACTTGCTTTCTTAGAACTGAATTCTCTTTCTTGCAATGATAGGCACAAAATAAAACATGCAAATATCATTGAATTGTTTCTGTAGCATTTTCATGGTGAAAGGGATCTCCAGAGGTCATCTAGTTCATCCAGATCGCCAGTCAGGACTCTCCCCAATACTGAATATAGCTGTATAGTGATCTGCATTAAGAAAGCTTTTAAAGATCCCTAGGGTTGATCAAAAAATAGCTAATATTGGCCTGATTCATAGAACAGCATTATACATGTCAAAATAGCCACCTTCATCAAGGAAGACATCCATCAGGGCAAAGAGCTAGTAGTAGCTTGAAAAAAAAAAACCACTTTATTTTCTCAAAGGGTGGTGGGTTAAGGAAATGACCAAGTGTGTTGGTATTTTTTTGTTTTTGTTTAGGTGCACATTTGAACGCTTATCAGAAAGGAAACATTGTCTTGTCAAAGACCACTGCAGGAGAAACCCGGAGGTGGCCGCAAGCCAGCTGATCAAAACTCCTTTAACAAGTCCTTTCAAATAGCTACAGAGCTCAGAGGGGAGGCTGTTGTTTCAAACAAGATCTGATTAGCATGAAGTTAGTGAAGGGCGTATGGCAAACATAAGAATAATATTGACAGACTTACTTTTTAAGTGCTTTTTCCCTTTATCAGCTGAGTTTGTTTATAGCTGATAATTTTATTTCTTCAATTCCATCAAACTGTGAGTGCAAAGGACAGGAATTTCATTATAATTTCAATCTTCTAAAACATTACTGTTCTGTAAGGAAAGTAATCCTCCACAATCATTAGACCCCTGAATTATTGGATTTGAGGCACAACTCTAGAACCTAGAAATCCCATCTGAAAGGAGAGCTGAGGTTCTTTTCTGGATTATTTGGGCCTTTAAGCCTTTCAGTTGAATTATACAAAGAACTTAAAGATATAGCTATCTATATAGTGAGGAAAACGACCTGCCCTCACAATTATCCCAGGTATCTACTTGATTCTGTGTATTAATGTTACATTTTTCAAATATTTCTGTAAGGTTACATAAAAGTTTGGTCAACCACAGGTGACTTCAGAATTGGGAATTGGGTGCAAATAAGCTTAGAGAAGACTTTTTTTTTAACACATATCCTCATACCAAGTTTCAAATTGTGTGCTTATACTTCTTCCTATGAATTCATTTGAAATTATTTAATTTCAAAAAACAGAAAGGCACCTCATTGTTCTCTTAAGGCAGATGTTCAGTCTGGGTTACAGAAAGTAGAAAGCTCTGACTACTGGCTTCTCTCAGCCTCTTTGTAATATTTGACTTTGGAAGTAAGAATCTAACCATTGAGAATTTTTGACGTGCAGCTGCATTTCTCAGAGAACACTAATCAACTGGCAAAATCTTCAGGTCACCCTTCCTCTACCTTTTCTAAGACCAGGGGACAAAAGAACAAGATCTCCCTACAGCATCTCCTTGACTTTTCAACATTCCCACAGTGAGCACCGAATCTACAAGATAATGTGCAGTCAACATATCTGCCATAAAACGAGGGCACTTAAGGTAATGAAGTAATTCCTAGGTTACTTAAATATTTGGCAGAGTAATTTTTTTCCTCCCTTAAACTACTCAGAAAATAGTCCTTAATTTGTTTGTGTATATAACCTATAAGGGGTGTTCTTTTTTCAAAGTTATCAACCTAAACAAACTCCCACAGCAGAATCAAGACATTCCAAATAGAAGAAATTGAATCAGCTTGAAAGAAAATGAGAGTAAGGGAAAGCAGAGAGTAGCATATTCTGTAATTTTTATTTTAAAAAGTTTAAATTTTTTCCATGCCATGACATTAAATGTCATATATGTTCATTTCAAGCAAGCCTTTTTAAAAATATACATACTGTATATATTTACATTCAAGTTTGAGTAATTGGTGTGATGTGTAGTTCAGGTTCTAATCTTTACCCACCCTGTGGATTTGTTCAGCTACTAACTAAACAGCGATTGTATCTTCACTCAGGCACATGGAGAGGTAGAAATTGCTTCTTAAAGAAAAACAAAACTGGAGTGCAAATGTGAGGATCATCATTGAAGCAGCTCAGCTACATCAAAGAGGCCGAAACTAGCTTTGGTCATCTCAAGAAGCTGAATACATGTAGTCTTGTCCTTTTAATTAAAACCAGAAAACTGTGGGTAGGTGCTCTTTTGAGCACATCAGGGGGCTGGCAGAGTTCTGCAACTAATGCACTGCCACTCTGCACCCAGGAATTGCATATGACTAAGGCAACATAGCAGCAGAGTTGGGCTGGCAGCTGGGCACTTTTCCCTGATAAGACACAAATAATACACATATGAGTGGCTTAAGAGACCTCAAATTAATATCTATACACCCACATAAGTCAACTAGGACACTTTTTTCCCCAAGTGAAACTTCTATTTCCACCCAGGTCCACCTCCATCCCAAACTGAGCTAGTAAGTCTACAGGGTTGGGTTGGCCCATGACTTCTGCAGGCCAAGTCTCCTCAGCTTCACGAGGGCTCTTGGGCCTGAGAAGGGCTCCCCGGGTTCTTGCCTGAGAGGGGAAGTTGGAGAGAAGCCATAGAGTTGGCCGAGGGCAAAAGCCCTTCTCGTTCCCTCTTCTTCTGTTTCATCCTGCGGTTCTGGAACCAGATTTTGACTTGGGTGTCATTTAGCTGCAAGGAGTTAGCTATCTCGATGCGTCGGGCTCGGGTTAAGTACTTATTGAAATGAAACTCCTTCTCCAGTTCTGTCAGTTGCTTAGTGCTGAAATTCGTGCGGATCGCGTTGGAGGGGCTAGCGGCTCCATATTCCGCAAGTTTGCCTGCAACGTAAACACAGAACATCAGCGGGGCGAGAGGACGCCGAGACAGAACACCGGCGAGCAGTGGGGCTATAGTTAGAATCAAAGTCACAACGAAGCCCTCCTGGGTCTCTGTGAGCACAGTTGTGCCTGGAGAAGTGCTCCATGGAGACAGCCCCCTCCAGGCAATTTTCTCCATGCCTGGCACACTTTCCGAGAGTGTGTTCGGGAAATGCTCGTGGGATTTGCCTGCTTGGATAACACCTCGGAACGCGTTTCTTCCACAGAACACAAGCCGCCGTCTAGAGGGACAGCTGCAAGGTGCTCCTAGCGCAATTCTGCGGACGAGGCTCTGTCCCTAACCCCAGGGGCATCCGTTCAAGGCTCAAGTACTTACTTTTCTTAGAGGCGTTTCTCTTCACTTTCATCCACTCGAACGTGCTGAAAGCAGCGGGGAGGCCGGAAGCTGGGGAGGAGGACTTGGGGTAGGCGCCAGGGTCCGGGGACGCGGTTTGGAAGGCCCCGAACTGGCCGTCGGCGGGCTCTTTGAGACACGCCGGTAAGGGGCCGGGCTCGCTGAAAGCCGCGTAATCCACCTGGCCGCTGAGGAGCAGGGAGCTGCCGCCAGAGAAGACGGCCGAGGTAGCGTAGTGGACGTGCGCCCCGCCGTCGTCCGCCGGCCGCCCGAGCGCGCACGGGAAGTCGTAGGCTGGCCCGGGCCCCCGGAAGGCGTAGTCTGCGCTGCCCGCCGAGGCAGGTGGAGTGCCCGGCTCGTAGGCACCCTCCAGGGTGCACGGCGCGTACGGCGGCGCGGCAGGGGGTGGCGCGGGAGTGACCGGGGGCGAAGACGCGGGTCGGGCCGCGGCCAGGGGCAGGCAGCCGACGAAAGCGCCGTCGCCGCTCCCCAGGGGGAAGGCGGGCTGCAGGGCCACCGGCCGGGCGTCGGCGCGGCGGAACTTGGGCGCGAAGCTAAGCAGATCGCCGCCGCCCCCCGCGCCGCCGCAGGACACGTACTCCAGGTAGGAGCTCATGGTTCGGGCCCACCGACCAGAGCGCGCAGTTTGGGGCTGGGCTGTGGGGTCCTCGGGACCGCCGCCCTCTGCGCTGCTCCGCCTTTCTTCTCTACCCGAGTTGCCGTCGCCGAGCCATTACGAAGGAGCCGGGGGTAAATTGTGGCTTAATATAGAGGCCGGGGTGGCCACGTGGCGCCAGCCGGCCAATGGGCGCCTTCCCCGCACGGCCTCGGACTCCACGCGCCTGCCCCGCCGCGAACTTTACCGATTCTGCGGGAGGCCGCCACCCAGCGGGCCCGGGCCCGGGGGAGAGCTGGCACGGCCCAGGGGCGGCCAAGGGAAGGGCAGGTTGAGGGCGTGGGGCGAGAGCCTGGGACGCCTGATCCCCGGACAGGTACTGGACGCTGTATGGGGAGGAAAGCTGGACTGGCCTCTCTGGTGATGACGAGAGGATGGAGAGGGGTGAAAACTTGTTCTGGGTCCTGAGTGGCTCGTCGCTCAGGTGCGGACTGTGGGACTGTGGGCGTGGCGGTGTGGAAAGGCTTAAAAGGGAGCTCGGAGCTCGGCCGGTGGGGACGGCTCCTAGCCTTTCTCCCGGGCAGGTAGTTATTCCTCTCTTTTTTTGCTCTGAGCCCTGTGCGCTTCTGGTTTTCTTGGCGCTAGTGTTATTTCTATTCCTAAACCTGAAGCAGAGGTTTAATTTTTCTCCCACTCTGACTTATGGGACTAAATTTTGTACTGTAGGTGCTGGGTACCTGGGAAGGCACAGCATTTTCACCTTTAGATTTCCCACGGTACTTCACGGCATTCCCTTCATCTTCTTCACCCCTTCTATTGGTGGCGGCATACGTGCGAGTGTTGAAGAGCCAGGTTTTGATTTGGACAGAAGGTAAAGTTTCTGCCTTGTTCGAAAGTTCAGCTGATTTTCCCCTCTGACCAGGGTTGTCAAAATAAAGAGTCTGCTGTTGTGATGGAGCGCTCCTAGTGCTCCTGTCTGGGAGGTTGGCACACGCACTGGTGCTGGGCACGCTTTCTCCTAGGCACTTGGCTCACAGGCGCAAAGGCTTCCCAGGGACGGGTCAGATCTCAGCGGTTTGGACAGGCTTGTACCTCGAAGCAATTAAAGCTTCTGTTCCATCAGATAAGTGCTGCGTCGTCTCTAGCGAGTGTAATCTGAGGGCTTACAATGTTAATGGGCTCACGTCTTTCCCTTGATAATATGGTTTTGTTTACTGAGTGTAGAGAGACGGGAAATAAAAGTGCAGTTGGCACAGGAAATGAAGAGTAGAAGGGTCACGAAGACACTATTTACATTGACAAACTTTCCAACTTCCTTGAGTATTTCTTTTAATGTTTCTCTCTTTGGAGCTGTAGGAAAATAACAAATTAAATAAGTGTTATTTACACACAGCAGTCATGAAAGAGGGAGGTTTCCTAAAAATCTGTGTGAATAAAGAGTCTACTCTGGGCTTTTCAAGTGCCCTTGAGAACTTGATCTATTACAGCCTCTGAGTTATGGTGACAGAGGTTTTATTATTGTTTTACTGATCCATTTGTCATGAAAGAGCAATTGAGCCCTTGCCTAAAATTCCAGTCTGAGGAAGTCTGCAAAATAGGAGGCATCACAGTCCAAGGAGCCAGTTCCTTACAGTAATGTGAACTTGTGAATAAACAAAGCCACACCAAACTGTTACTGCTGGTAAAGCTAAAGTTGAGCCACGAAGGGGGAGGGTTGAGCCATGGTGGTTTCCGGGGCAGATAGAAGGGAACCAGCACAAAGCTGAAGGGACCTGGGATTCCTGCGCTGCTGGAGTGCTTGAATTTCATTGGAAAATAGAATCCTATGCTGAAAATAGCCTTTCAAACTTGATGTTGCCACTTCAGTTTTCTTCTATAACCAATCAAATGATGAAGGTCCTAAATAGGTTTTTAAAGGAGAAAAATAAAGGTATTTCTCTAGCACCCTGGTCAGGAAATGGTAGAGCTCTTCAGAGCTAGCTCTGGCTTCAAATGTAGATGCATTTCTTCACTGCCCTCCCTCTGCACCCTTAATGCAAAAGCATCAGCAAATCAGGTGCTGCTGTGTTCACTGTGCCCTGATAGCCACCCCTGGCCACACTTTAATAGCCATTTTTTTACCAGCATAATGTCTCACCCAGCTTGTACACTTCCATCTGAAAACCATAAGGGCCCTCTCTCAATAGGTCCTCATCAAATGACTATTCCTAGTCCCAGAAGCCCCAGAGGGTCAGGAAGGAAGTGTGGCCTTAGAAACCTCTCTGTAGGTGTCCAGCTGGCTGCAACCCAGGATGTAGGACAGAAAACCCAGTCTGATTGTCTAGGAAGTTTGGTCAAAGTCTAATAAATTTAGAGCCCTTTTCTCTAAGATTTCAGGAAAAACAGGCAGCCTAGGTTCCTTGGTAGCCTGCATTGCAACAAGGACCTGGTTTTTGCTACTGAGAATTTGAGGCAAAAGTTGGACCCTTCCTGTCAAAATTAAATACTGACTTTGATGCACTTATGAGCTTTCCACATTATTTCACTGAAGCAAAATTTTGGTCATTGAGCTTTTGCTGAGGGAAAAGAATGAGATTTTAAAAAGCGAATTGTTAGCCCTGGCTGGCGTAGCTCAGTGGATTAAGCACAGGCTGCGAACCAAAGTGTCCCAGGTTAGATTCCCAGCCAGGATACATGCTTGGGTTGCAGGCCATAACCCCCAGCAACTGCACATTGATGTTTCTCTCTCTCTCTCTATCTCCCTCCCTTCCCTCTCTAAGAATAAATAAATAAAATCTTTTAAAAAATCGAATTGTTTTCACAACTGTGGGTGAGGTGTTCACTATTTGTTCAAGCTCTTTGATAAGCGCATCCAGGGGGATACAGTCTGTCCATCCTTCCTTTTTCTCCCTTTAATATTCCAGTCTTTGGCAGATCCTACACCTTGGGGTGCAGAGTTGTCATCTCCACTCCCAGACTGGTTCTTGACTTATTGCCAGGTTAGCAGTCAAGACTCTGCAAACATTTGCCAAGGACTTACTATATTATTTTGTTGGGGTAGAGTTAGGCTGGGGAGAAATATTCATAATCCAGAGGAACAACGGGTTCATTTCTGGCACAAGTCTTAGCTATAATATAAATATACCCCAGCCCTGGCTGATGTGGCTCAGTGGATTGAGTGCCAGTCTGCGAACAAATGGGCTGTGGGTTCAGATCCCAGTCAGGGCACATGCCTGGGTTGCTAGACCAGGTCCCCAGTAGGGGGCACATGAGAGGCAACCACACATTGGTATTTCTTTCCTTCTCCCTTCCCCTCTCTCTAAAAATAAATAAAATCTTTAAAAGTATATATATATATATCTACTCCAGAAGAATCTGTGTCTATAGTTTTCTAAGGAGAACTTGGAAGATACTGGGGGAAGTGTGTGTTGAAAGATGTGAACGTAGAGTATTTTGAGTAACTTTAAAGTTTGTCTTCTAGATGTTCTCAGGGTATGGGAGAAATGTCTTACTAATTCTATTGCTTGTTCAAGTCATGAATTCCCAAGGGTCACTTGCCCTGTTGTGTCCTGGCCTCAGAGTCCTCAGCAGGAGGTGATAGCAGAGGGGCCTGATTGCCAGGTTGTATTTGATGTAGGAATGCTTTGAAATCTTTCTTATCCTACTTACCATAGCAGCCACCCCCTGCCTACTCCCCAGACTACTTTTCTCTCCCATTGGAAAGGACAGGCTTCTTTTCTGCAGACAGAAGTGATAGAGCATGGCAGCCTGGTCTTCCATGCATTTACAGTTGTTCCTAAGAAGTCTCTTGGCAACCCTCTCCACAAGCCCCAACATGTTATACCTTGGAGACACTTGAGCACATGCAAACTGTTGGTTCCACAGCCCCAAAGCCTAGAGGGGCTCTTGCTTGTTAGGGTAAAAGGGTGGAAGGAGGCTTTTCCCAGGATGGCCATGGGGATGAAAGGGATCCTAAGGACAGGAATTCTAAACCTATCAGGAGTCTGATAACATGACCCTGCCTCTGGAAAACAGTTTAGAGTTCTGTGCCTTTCCCTGAGAGCTTTGTGAATGGAAGGCTCATGGGTCAAGCTTGTGCTTAGCACATAGTAGGCTTTCAGGAAATGTTTGTTGGGCAGAAATAAAGAGTAGACAGAATGGTGTGTCTTTACCGTGACTAATACTAGCTAAAGGATAGCTTTAAATTATTTGCTCCCCAAACCACTTCATGTGGGTAGGAATCACCAGAGGAGCTTGTTTAAAAGTGGGGTTCCTCAGTCTACACCTAGAGCTTTTCATCCAATTCGTCTGACTCAGGCATCTATATGTTTTTCTAAGTTTTTATTTACTTATTTTTAGAAAGAGGGGAAGGGAGGGAGAAAGAGAGAAACATTGATGTGTGAGAGAAACATTGATATGTTACCTTTCGAACACCACCAACTGGGGACCTGGCCTGCAACCCTGTCATGTGCCCTAGCTGGGAGTCAAACCAGCCAGCCATCTTTCAGTTCACGGGCCAGTGCTCAATTCACCGAGCCACACCAGCCAGGACTGGAGTGTATTTTTTAAATCAACCTCTTGGGTAATTCTAAAGCAAAGTTCTTTAGAACCACACTTTAAGAATTTCTGCTTTAGGAGTTGGGTTGAGGAAGCAATATTGGGAAAGAATGGTTATTCTGTGGGAGGGACCCTGGAACCAGCAAGATGACAACTCATGGCTAGATGGAGTATGAATATACCTGAGAAGTGTCTTGTAGCCTTTTGCATAGTTGAGGCAGAGAGGTCAATGTCCAGGTCAAATTTAAATCTAGTTGATTGGAAGTTCCAGAAAATATCCTTAAGAAGTAATCAGTAGGAAAAACTGATTAAAACTTTAAATTTCCCAAGTTTTGCTGACAAGATAATACTTTGCAAACTGGGCTCACTTCCTCTCTTTGCCAACTCCCTAACTTGGCTTTGATGATGCCAGAGGAATAAGAAGTAAAAGAGATTTGTCTCTCCGAATCTCTTCAGAGAACATTTGGAGTGATTCTGAGGCAGTGGGCAGAGGGAAGGAGTGGGAATGGGGGTTTCAAGAGGGAGGAGCCAACCCTCATTTCTTTCCACCTCTGCCAAGTTGTCCAGAATGAGCAGCTGAGCCTCAGGGATCCAGAGAGAAGGAAATGCCCTTTGGACTAAGCTGTTTCCCTTCCTCTGCCTAACTGCTGGCCTGTCACAGCATAAGATGCTAGAAGGCCCCTTAAAGATAGTGACACCAAACCCCTCATTCTAGGAAGTCACTTAGAGGTTAAAAAGAAAAATCATCCTGCAAAAATGAGGGAAACAGCTTGGGTCTCTGACTCTCCACGGTCTGCTGCCTTTCCACAGTCTGCAAAAAGCAGGGAATAAGGCAGCCCCTGCTCTGCACCGTGGCAGCCTCGATGATGAGCAAACAGCACAGTGATGAAGGAGGCACCCTCATTTCTGGAAGAACACCCAGCCAGTGTGGCTGACTGGGAGGCCTGCTGCCCTCCCTTCGATAAACTTGTGCCCCACACTTCTGAGGCCCCACCTTGAGCCACTGCTGCAAAGAGGCCATGATGGACCTGGGTCTCCACCCACTCCATCACCAAGCAAGAGTAAAGGATCCCCTCATTTCCTGCTGAGCTTGATCAGCATAAGGGGTCTGGGGGGACAAAACAAGAAATGTCCCAAGATTAATACACCTGGGCAGAGCAAGTACAAATAAGGATATGTGTGAACATACAAGGTACACTCAGGCCAGTTACACTTGTACTGATATTTTTTTCTCGTTTATTTTTTAAGTAGGTAATAAGTTTAAATCCATGTGGTTCAAGTTGCAAAGGTACAAAAGGGTATGCAGTGAAAGTCTCCCACTCCTGTGCCTAGTCACCTCATTGCCCCTCATATAGGCAACCAGTTTTATGAGTTTCTTACGTACCTTTCCAGAGACACCTTATGTGTATGTGTTCACACACATCCAACATTTTGTACACAGCCAATAGCCTATTAGACTCCTCTGATCCATGCTTTTCTCCCTATTTTATCTTGAAAATTATTTCATGTAAATGCATACAGAACTTCCTGGCTTATTTTTACAACTTCATGCTGTTCTACTACATATGCCTCTCACAATTTATTTAGCTAGTCCCTTATTAATGGACATTTAGCTTATTTTCACTCTTTTGCTGTTAGAAACACAGGTTCAGATTTTTACCTATTAGAAAGATTCCTTGATGCAAAACTAGTCAAAAGTATGTGTGCTGGCAATTTTGATACATATTGCATAGAAGTGAATCAGTTTATACTTCTACCAGCAACAAATGAGAACTCCTGTTTTCTCACACTGTTGCCTAGTCATTAGTTTTAGTAATGCCTAGGCATTAGTTTTTTTTATTTCTGCCAACATGATAAGTGAAAAATAATACCTTTTACTCACCTGTATAACATTTCCATAAGTGTCATTCTATTTGTCTTACTGATCCTTTCATAATTATATTTTACAAATGGTAATACTGACACAGAAAAGATAAGCAACTTTCTGTAGTCACACCCAATGTAAGTGGCCAAGGTCAGATGTTCAACACTCTTTCCTATACAACAGTGTGCCATAGGGAAGCTTAAGAGGATCCAAAAACAGTGCGTGGCTTCAGGCATTCCCTGAAAGATACATGATATAAAAAAACACAGAAGCTTTCCAACATCTGCTAAGAGGCTTCCTCTTTAGTGGTCTGATACCAATACCATATTTCTGCATGTGTCCCCTGGAGAGTAGTACCCTCTGGAAACAGCAATCTGATATGACCTAGTCTTAAACATTAGCTTGCATTCAATATCTAGGAAGCAGTTGGGTGTTGTATTTAATTTTCCTGAGACTTATTTCTCACTGGCCACCCAAGACCTAAGTATTAATCAGCATGGATGGGTAAGAGGATGTTTTCCCTAGGTTTTATATTTATATAACAGGTCACTCACTTGGACCTAATGAAGACAATAAAACACACACACATACACACACAGCTCTAATGATGAGGTAGACATCTATATTGACTACTTCATTGATGATCAAGCTGAAGGCCAGAAAGATTAAGTGAACTGCTTATGGTCATGCAATCTATCAGTTAACAAAGCAGAAAATACAATGTAGACCTAAACTTGAACTAATTAGTTTCCCCTGCAAACTCTCCTCTTCCCCCTCCTCTATTCACTTTGGTGAATGGCCTGACTACCCACTCTGGCCCTCAAAATAGAAACCTAGGGATTAACATCTACAACTCTTTCATCCAGTGGATCACCTATTCCTATAGTTTGTCTTCCTAAATGTCTCTTCTCTTCATCCTTATTTCATTAGTTCCTCTCTAGGCTGGATTATTACAGCAGCCTCCTTTTTCTGTCTCCTTGCCTCCTCCTCTAACTCTCCTTTCTCCAATCAGACACAGTACCTCCAAGAGTTGGCTTTCCAGATAAACTCACGTTCCAGTTTATAACTTTTGGCAGCTCCCACTGCCTACAGATCAAGTCCAGACTCATTTCTATGGACCTTTTACAACCTCTCTTTCCAGCCAGGTGCCCCACTTCAAACCACTCTCCTTGTTCCAGGTCCAGAGTTTTCTCTTTCCTCCCTCCCCGCTTCTTTATGTGCTGCTCTCTCCACCTGGTATGTCCCTCCTGCCTAGACCCAAAAATCCCTATACTTCAGGGACCCAAATTCGCCTCTTCTGAGAAACCTTCTTTGACACTAGAATACTGTTAGTGGTGCCTTCTCTTTGTTCCAGGACCATTTTGGCCACACCTCTATTACAGCATTTGTCATGCTGTTTTAGGATCAGTTCTTTTTCTCTCCCAGTAGATAGAAGGGCACCACCATTAGTGACTCATTTTTGTATCCCAGAGCCCAGTACAGTATATATAGAAGCTGTACAACTGGTACTGGTGAAAAGGCAAGAAGAGAGGAACAGGTTCTGAAGCAAGGATATTGGGACCAAGTATTTTAATTGCTCGATGAGTCAGGGCACTGTGCAAGGCCTAATGTTTCAGCTTATATCCACCTGAAGCAAAAGGACAGTAGAACATTTCTCCAAAGGAAGCTAACTGCCACCCCAAGAGGATGATGCAAAAGAAGAGGACCCAGGGAAGAGGGAGAAACCTGGGACTTTCTATCCTTCAGAGACTCCTTTCTGTGGGCTGTGGCAACACATTTAACTGTCTTCAGCTGTGGCAACACATTAAAATTCTCACATGATATGAGTCAGAAAAAAGTTAAAAGAATGGATAGTCTGGAACTTCCTTTGATTTACAAAGAGAAGAGTATGAACCACTCAAGGAGGGGTAGAAGAATGCTTCACCACCCACTCACACAAAGCCTCCTGCTGTAAGTGGCTCTAATGTTGCAGACTGCCCCCGCCCCAAACTGGGAGGCTGTCCCTTTATTGTATTACTACAATGAACCTGAAAGAGCTGCAGTAAAAATATTCCCACAGCATGGTAACTATAGCTAATAATACTGTACTGCATATTTGAAAGTTGCTAAGAGAATAAATCTTGAAAGTTCTCATCACAAGAATAATGTATAACTATATATGATGATGTTAACTAAATTTATTGTGGTGATCATTTTGTGATGTATACAAATATCCGATCATTATATATGTATATATGTGTGTATAGATGTGTATATACACATTTGTAAATTGTGAATTAAAAATAGGCAAAATACTCCAGTTCTGCCTTCACATCAAAAAGGAGAGGCATATCATTGTAGTTGGTGTTTAAGTATACTTTTATTGTTATTTTATTTTTTTTAAAGATTTTATTTATTTATTTTTAAAGAGAAGGGAAGGGAAGGAGAAAGAGAAGGAATGGCCTGCAACCCAGTAATGTGCCTTAGACTGGGAATTGAACCAGCAACCCTCTGGTTCACAGGCCTGTGCTCAATCCACTGAGCCACACCAGCCAGGGCTTTATTGTTATTTTAAATGGCATTCAAGTTTAGTTCCAAGTTCAACAAGAGTCTTTATCCTGCTTCCTCCTACATAAATACTCCCGCAAGTAAATAGAGCTAAACTAGTTCAGGCCCTCCCTTGAAATCTAGGCCCTGGGGACATCTTTTTTTTAAAACTCTTAAATAAAAGTGTCTGCAGGAACCTTCTTACCCATTGGAATTTTTCCTGTCCTGCCATCTGAAATGGATTTGGCCTTTTCCGGAGGTAGAGCAGTGCTTAAGGGGGTCACTTGGGCAAGCAGGAGGTGTGCGAGGGGGCGAGGGGGATGCAGAATCACTGAGGAGCAGGCGTAGGGGCAGGCATGTTGGGAGGGCGTTGGGCACCCTGAGTTGTCCGAGGGCAGAGCTAGCGGGAGGTAGTGCTGGCCACTGCATGAGGAGGTCCCTGGCCAGTGCTTCCCTTGGGCCTCACACAGCAGAGGGCTGGTGAGGCTAAGCCACTCCGGGTGGGCAGCCCTGGTGGTGGGTCTCGCCCTCCACTGGCGCTCACTCAGCGTGCCTGTGTCTCCTCCGTTTGTGGTTTCTGGTCGGTTCCCAGCTGGCCCAGACTTGCTCTGAAGGAGGAGGAACCGCTGTCTAGCGAAAAAAGTGCACACCGGGTGATTGATGAACTCTTAATAGAACTAACCTCTCCCGCCCCTCACCCCCCACCCTAGACACACACTGAGAAATCATTCACCCCAGCCCCCTCCCCAGACCTCCTCGCTGGTGTGAGGGGGCTCGGCAGCCAGCCCTTTGGGTGATTAACTCACTGCACTGTTTGTCTTTCCAAAGTGCTCCAGGTGGGTTCAGGAACAGCCACCCACCCCTCAACCACAGCACCCTGTCATGCAGGAAGGTGGGCAAGGGAGGCTGGAGCAAGCACGCATGTCACTTGGTGGTACAGCCCAAACAGGTCTTTGTGCAGCCTGACGACTGGAAGGGGGGGGACTATTGTTACCCGCAAGGGAGGGAGATGCTCAGACTCAGGGTCCATGGCAGCCTCCTCCTCCCCAGAGTATCCCCAGGTCTGAGGACCCATAGTCAGTTTCCTTTGTGTGTGCTCTGCCTGCCACAAGGATGGAGTCCTTCCTGCACCAGGGGGCAACAGACTTGGGGGTGGGTTGCCAGCTCTGCCTCTGACTCCCTCAAGCTCAGTTCATCTGACCCAGTTTCCCCACTCCATCCTTGCTTTGAACAATAGATTCATAAAAAGGCCTTTTCCCTGTTTCCTTATAGGTTGGGGATGTTCTTCTCCACTTCAAAAAGGCCCTGGCCCAACAGGTCCTCCCTCTAGGGCTGGTTTGAGGCCTGCTTCCCCAGCAAAAATACTTTGTTTGTACCAGGGTTCCCCATAAATACTGATTTAAATTAAGAGCTTGTATTTGGGCTCTTACTAATGTTAAAACTCTGTTTTCATGATTTTCCAGATATTCTTCCATAGAAATGATTCATACTAACTACAGAAAACAGTCAAGATACTTTGCCATAAGATCTAGGACAAGAGGACTCAGCAATCTTTCCCACCTTGCAGATCTCCTGGGGACCCTTCACCTGCTTCTGCAACTGCAAATGATTGGACATTCATTTACCTTGGCTGTTCCTTCACGTGTGCAAACCTTTTGTTCACTGTGCATCAGGCTGGACCTGGCCTGAAAGTAGGTTTTTAGATCGTCGTCTTTTCAACTTGCCAATGTGGGTATGAAACCTGATGGAAGTGTTCAGGTATAGGCTTCAGGTCAAGTATGTAAATTCATTTCACACCAACTTTGGCTCCCAAAGATAAGGGTATTTGTACCTGGAGTACAGGACAGGGCCACAATGAGAACTACAGTTTCATTCTCTGTGATGATCCTCTCCAACAACTAGCACTACCAGCGCAGTAAGTGCAGAAGTTTCATCTACCTAATCTTTTCTCTCTCCTCCAGGCCTTCTGCAAAAGAGATCTAAGTGAACCAGACCTCAGAGGCCGTGAGGGTGGGGTTGGTGACTCAGTCTCAGCTCCCTGTGCCCAAAAAGTCTAGATAAATAGGTCGGCTCATTCTCTGGGAAGTGGCAATGCTCTCAAGTGATCAGGCTATATACTTGTGAGGAACTAGAGCTTTCTGCTCTTTATTTAATACTCAACAAACTTATGTTCAACCTGTTCTTTTCTTACAGTTTCTGAAAGAAGGGCCAACATAATGCCAAGAACTCTCAGATGAAGAGGACCTTTCTAGATCTGTAACTGGGATTAATCAATTCTTCAGGAGGAAGTTTCAACTAATTCTCAAGATAAATCAAAATAGTCCTCTGACTGTCCTTTAAATACTGAAGGTGTAAACAAGTGTCTGACTTCGCCTGGTCAATCAGAAACACTTTTTAGTAGAAGTTGGGTTCCGTCTTTGTTATTCAAACATACACCCACACACATCCTCTTCACACTCCCCAAATGAAAAACCTCAACAGATGGAGAGCCTAGGCTCCCAAGCCTGCTGGCTGAGAAGATGCACTTCACTCAAGGGTCAATCAGCTGGTAAAGAATGGGGAGGGAGAAGGGAGAAGCTACCTAGTATAGGTAATCTCCATCTTTTAAAACTGTTCAGCAAGGTTAGCAGCCTCTGGGGCCCAGGAGACCAATTTGGCTGATGTGTCTCTGGTAGGGACTAGTCTTGAGGCTGTATACCAAGGGGAAAGTACTCACTCTACATTCTCCCCCTATCTCTCATTTGAAAGCCTGTACAAAGAAATGGTACAAATGGATGGTTAACTTAACGATTCCATCAGAAGTGGATTTTTCCCTGTCAGGTCCCTGGATGAAGCTGAGGTCTGAAAGCCAGGAGGCAGAATACGTACTTAATCGCCCTTTCTTATTGCCTTGCCAGGGGCCAGTCAGAACTACCAGTACTCCTCAGGCCTTTCCTCTGCAACTTCCCCACCCCTATGGCTAGCTCAATTGAGTCTCCCCCCATCACTCCAAGCTAGGTCCTAACTTTTTCCTGGTAACCGGGTGACGCCCTTGGTCTGCCTAAATCTCTTTCCCTACTGCCACCTCGCATTTTGCAGACTGTTCCTGCTGCCTCACCTCCACCTCGCTTTAATTCACATTTGATTTGACAGAATGACTTCCACTCCCCATCCACCCGCCCAGGCTTGAGACCCTAAACCGTTTCTTTAGGCCTCAAGAAGATCCCCCACAACCTCCCTGATCCCCCACCTCCCCAAAAGGGTCTCTACAAGGGAAAAAAACAGCCAGTAGTCAAGGTCTAAGCCAAAGAGCCATTTCCTCCCTGTGGGCAAAGGAGGTGAACCTCCCAGAGACCAAGGCCCCAAGCTAGGCCAGGCCCTTCCCCACCTCCAGTTGCCCAACCTTGCCTTTGCATGGCCTTGCCTCCTCATGGCCTTGCCTCCCAGGAGCCGGCGGGGAAGCAGCTACACATAATGGTACGGCCGCTTCCCAAAACACGGCAGCTCTGGGCGCCCTCAACCCAGCGCCCGATAGCGAGGGCCCGCAGCCTTGAGACCTTGGTGTGTCCCTTATTGTCCCTGTGTCGGGCGCACACAGGCTAGAATGGAAGTTTGCTTCCCTGCCAACTCGCCCCTTCCCGCTGCAGATCTTCCTCAAGAGAAGAGGCCTGGGCTCAGAGCGCCACAGCAGGGCCGGGCTCCCCTCCCCCAACTCCTTTCTCTGCTGGGGGAGGCGCGGTGGCGGGTGCCTCCGATAGAGCAGCTATTGTGACCTTCCATCGAAGAGTGGGAACCCAGCCGAGTGTGTACCGCCCGCGATGGCGGGGTGGGGGGTGGGGCAGGGGAGGAGGCGACTGTGTGCAAACCTCGGGGTGCGGATGGGAAATAAATAAAACTTGGCAACCTCGGGCAGTTGGGCCCTTCAGAGGGCGTTTGGTTGTGTTTAGACTCTGGTGCTTCCTAACACTAATTGCAGGCTCAAAAGGAACAGAATTTATGGCGAAAGCCAAGGCGGCTTGTTTATAATTTATGAAGTTTTAAATGGCTGTGCCGCGGCCCCGCTCTCGCCCTGGCCTGTGGCTGTGCGAGAAGCGTCCTCCCCAGACTCCCCACCCGCGCCAGGAGCGGCTCAGTGTAGCCCATCTGAGCCTTTCTCAGAAACCTGAGGAAACCATTCCCCCAAGAAATGAGAGCCAGACACTGATTTGTCCCAAGAGAACTCCCCCCAACCCCCTCGAGAAGGTGCCTTGGGGCAGCAGTGGCTGCCTAGAGAGGGAGCCCCTAACCCCGCGCTTCGTTGGAGCCTGAGTGTGAGAGGAAGCTAATGTCAGCCGGGCTAGACACCGTTTAAAGTCTAATCCATGAAACCTTAAGCCACAGATGACACTTGGGGCCTTGCAGACACCCGCAGACTCAGCAGATACTCCTGCGGTAACAGACCGCTCTGGAAAACGCCTGGAGCCATGATGCATTATGTATTTTTATTATTACTTATGGCAGAAAGAGGAGATGAGGGAAAAACGGGCTGAATCTAAACAGCCTAACAATTCATCTATTTAATATTTAGCCAGTTAAGAAAGGTGGTTGTTATCCCTGCAAGGCAGAAAGCTCTTCTTTGATTTCCCTAATAGTTTAAAAAATAATTTCTTACAAGGTAATTAGAAATACTGCCTTTGGACGCAAATTTCATAGAAAACAATTTTAAGCCTTGAAAGTGGGTGCACTATCCCTTCAGTTGAAGTCATTTATTCTGATACACTTCTACAACATACTTTAAACCTGCTCAGAAAATGTGAAATTTAGCAAAAGGATAACCCCCTCCCACCCCCAACCTAACATGCCATTTTAAAAACAGCACAAAGGAACAAGGAAACTAAATTATTTGAGCCATCATTATTTAGCGAAACACAAACATCCAAAGAGAAACGATTGTTGTTCCACCAGAAGATTAGAAGTTAAATTATTTCCACACAATAGGAATTTCACCTCGTGTCACCAGGGATGTAGTAGGAGTTGCATTATTTGTCAAACCAAATAGAGATGTGTGGGCCGACTTTGCTGAAATACAAAGAATTGAACCTTATCTGAAGGCATTTTCCAAGTGCCTCCTCCCAGAGAAGCGGGTGGAAATTGTCCACCCCTAGCTAAAGCCACACTATTATTTACAAAATGGTTATAAATCCTTGGAGACATTTCTTACCCATTTAGTACAAAGAACAGGAGTAAACAAGGTGTTTATACTTATGTTCCATTAATGAAACTTTTATTACTTTTTATCATGGGGAATGTTTGTTTTCTTTCGAAATGAACCACCAACCACTATAAAGGAAAAAGTCATGATAGCGTTTCCTACAGAAAGGCTTAGGTACGTGTCTCCAAAGGATCATTTTCTTTTCTTTCTTTTTTTATTTTTTTGCACCTTAGCTTTTTCATAGTTCAATTCTTACAACTTTGCTTCTGTCTCAATTTTTTTTTGATTGTCAGTTTTTTAAAGATTTTTATTACTTAACACAGAAAAGTGAGCTCGGGCCTCCCCAGTGTGAACGCAATGTAAAAATGTGGATTTGTATCTAGAAAGGGGGCGGGGGTAGAAACAGCAAAGCAGGCTCAGTACAAAGCCCTACCCAAATCATTCCCTCCAACATTTCTAGGTTTGCATCCTCAGATTTTTTCCCCTTAATGTCAATAGCTGGGATGTAATCAAGTATCCCTAGAACCAATGTATGTACTAGATTCAAAATGCATGAAAAAAATTATTTCAGTGGGTCAGCCTATTTGGGGGCCTTCCACAGGGATTGTAGGAAAGATAAAGGCCGTGATCTATTTGCAGGTGTGTGTGATTAACACAGATACTCTTCCGACTGAGAATTTTTTTATTCTAAATATTTGTTCAAATAGTACCAGACAATTTGAAATCAATAAACTGTGTCGAGTTGGAGGGCTGTGGCTGTTGAGAAATGAGTAACGGGTATGTCTACCCATGAAGGACATTTTGCGGTCTTGATCCTTTACATCAACTACAAACACCAGCCACGGTTACAACTGTTCAAAAACTACTCTCTTAGCTAATTCAGACCAAGGGGACTAAAGAGGTGAAATGTGGACCCCAGGGCCTGGGAGCGCGTTCCGAAGCTGGCTGGAGAATTCTACAAATATACACATAAATACATTAAGACGAGGATAAATAATCAGAGAAACGAAATGACTCGCTTCAAATAATAAATACAGATTGTTGAGTCCGATGCAATCCTTACGGGACGGGAAGGAGCATATAAATTAAGGTGTCCGCAACTAGGCTAGACACAGGCCAGGCCCGGAGCTCTCCGGGCTCCGGTCCCTCTGCAGAGCTCGCTGCCGATGGCTCTCAGACTTACCTTCGGGACACCATTACCAGATTAGAGTCCCTCGGTCCGCTGTACATGGCACTGTCGGGCTTACAGAGGACAATCCTTGCGGCTGATTTATGGCAAGTCACCCAAAGGAAGACGCGCCAGGAGGGGAGGCCCAGTCTCCCGTGCCTCGGCCGCGGTTGGCCCGAAACCAGGGAGGCTGCGACCCTTGCTAGGGTGAGGGAGGAGTCACCCGCTGCCCTGCGGGCCCCGCCCGCCACCCCCGCCACCAAAGCAAAAGAGGTAATTGGGCCACTACTTCGGGCCGTTGGCGGCTGCTACAGATGCGTCAGTTTGGGGGCCTCGGGCAGGCGTCCCTGAGACGAGTGGTGGGCCGAGAGATCTGTGTAAGTGGGATGAGGGTCGCACGGTCCATGGTGGTGGTTGCCGGGAATCTGCGCGGCGCAACTGTAGTCCACGCTGGCCGAAGACGGGTGCGAGAGGTGGCCCAGGTTGAAGACCGGCCCGGACGCGGGCGCCATGGAGTCGACGAAGTTACCACCCACGTACACCGGGCTGCCCTGCAGGTTGGCGCTGGCGAAGCCGCCGCCGTTGCTCGCCATGGGGTGGGGCTCGAACTCGGGTGCCGCGTAACGCTTCTGCTGTGGCAGGCAGCTGCTGAGCGGCGCCGTGTAGGCGGTCAGGCCGTACATGTTGGGCTGAGATTTGGCGAACGCGGGAGGCGAGGGCGCATCGTAGGCTAGGCCCGGCACGGGCGGCAGCTGACCGGAGTAGGCCACGTGGCCTGCAGAGCCGCCGAGCGGCGGGCTGCGCTCCGGCGACTGACCGGCTGGAGAGTGCAGGATGCCCTTGGCCTTCTGGTCCTTCTTGTACTTCATGCGCCGGTTCTGGAACCAGATCTTGATCTGGCGCTCGGTGAGGTTCAGCAGGTTGGCCATCTCCACGCGGCGTGGCCGGCACAAGTAGCGGTTGAAGTGGAATTCCTTTTCCAACTCCACCAGCTGTGCACTCGTGTACGCGGTGCGCACCCGCTTGGACG